TGCACACATTCACAACATTAACAGTATTTCCGTCACGTGACGTTTACACAAATATACCAACAGCGATGTTAATTTTAAACCAACTTAAAATCGTATATTTACCCTCTATTTATAGAACTACAAAGCAGACAAAACGACTCGTCTAACTCTGACACTGACGATAGTGAGCGCAGTAAATTTGCATAAACACAAAAGGGTTATTTCGCATTGTTATTCGGTGATCAGCAATTCAATAATGTCACCATCAAATTGAAGTCATTATTTGATTGCGTTAAAAGTGTATTGATGAAAGGAAGTACTCCGCGATAGCTCAGAAGTTAGTTCTTTTCATCAACCCCGGAACTAACAGCATACAGCAATAAGCGGTCTTGGCGTGGTCAGTGTCAACATATAGTGCGAAATAAACAATGATTTGTAGATTGGGGAATTATCTTGACTTTAAAAGTACTTTAAATTTAATTAAAACAGCCGGTGAATAAATAGCTAATACCACCGGACATTAGGGAGTATACCCCATCTGTCCTGTGGTATTAATAATTTATAAACTTCGGTTTAAAATTGAATTGATTCAAAATATTTTAATGCCTATACCAAAACTAAAACATGTATACATGATACCATTACGGTCAGTCAATATAGTTTCAATACATTTTAAGAAATGAGCCAATACTTTGCGAAAAGATTCGCAATACAACATAAATGATCATGTATGAAATCAAAATACTATACGGCGAATTCTATTGGAAACAAAAAATCTGCGACGCTTTCAATTCTGTAAATTCAGAAACTTCTTTTGCAACTCTAGCTGAGGAAACAATTTATCGTGAACCGTATTCAACAACAGCGAAGGATATTCCTGTTTGCAGTCGGCTAACGTTTTAAAGTATTTTCACACTCCCCATCCTCGTACGTCATAATTGAACTCTTTCTTATTTTCACTCACGTAAACAATTTCAGGCAAGGACATAGATTGTCATATAGATTTAAAGTGTTGCTGTAGACATTAAATTATAGAACCATGTACCAAAATGGCATGTTCCCTTTGATTGAACGGTACCACGTGCTTCTCTAATCATCATACTACTGGGGCCGAGCACTTTGGGACAACGCAATCAATATTGCGAGAGAATCCAATGCTTGTAGGCATTAGTAAGGATCGTTTAAAACATCCAACCGAGTATGTTTTGTTCATGTTAAGAAGTTTAGACAATTCTTATTTACAAATATTACATCTGGCATTTGTTTGTTCAGCGTTGTCGACTCCCGACACGTTAACCACACGGTCGATTTCCTTCTTTTAAAGCCTGTCCCTGTGCATATTTTTGAGTTTTCGACATTTCGAGATAATACAACTAATCACGTGATAACAGGGCCGGGAATAATTGTTTAAATAATTGGTTCGACAGAGTCACATCGTGTCCTTGAATTGTTATCACGCAATGATGGGCAGTGTGTCGTAATTTATTCGCTAAATATTAATAATGTAGTTTGATATAGAACTTATGAAAATGAACGAATACGTGCACAAATAGCGACAAGGCAACTGTATTTATCAGCATCAACATCATAAGGCATTGATTCTATGAAAACGTCTTTTCATAATCTATATATCAAGAAATCCAATACGTAATTATATGTTTGTCGTTATCCCTATGAAGTTCCGTTATGTGTTTAGACTAAACGCTAGGCAGTTTTGGACAACATTGTCTTGTTGCGAACTGTGTACCGATCGGTTTTTCGCACCCGATTTTTCTGGAAAGAAATACGTTGCTACAGATAATGCCTGCAGCATTATCATTAGACAATGTCTTACTTGAAAACTAATTATTAACGTGTGACGCAAGGTGACTTAAATCATATTCAATAAACTTTCCAGCTGAACCTTAGACCCCACGCTCAAACATTCAGAAGAGGTAGGTTTAACGAAACACGTTATTTGTTATAATTGTCTTTATTTTTTACATTTATTCAAATTGCGCTAGCCAAGGTAAAGTGCTTTATGATCACTATCGAAACTTGTTTCCAGTAAATTACACTTGACCATACAAAGAGATTAGAACTACTGCAAGTGTATGTGTTGGTATGATATACGGATTTAAGAGGAATTTCATTCCACAGACCGTTCACCATTTGAGGTGTTACTGACTTAAACTTCTGTTCTAGCAAGACAACAAGGCGTTGTGTTGATTGAATTAAGGGGGTCTCATTCGTTTGCATTTGGAGGTGTCTCATCTGCTGTATTTATATCTTGGGTATTGACTTTATCTCATCAGTGTGGGACAGAATACATCATGCTATGCTATGCTATAACGTGTTTTTTTTTACAATGGATGAATACAATGGTTGATTACGAAAAAAATGGTACATATCTTACCAAAACAATAATGTGGTGTACAAAATACCATGGCAATGGTTAAAGAGCGGTCTGTTCTATATATTATACATATATCTAACCACTAGCTGATGTAGAAACATGTAGACGTGATTTGGAAACTGACTTAAAATGACATCATACAAGATAAGAATCAGCTTGTCAATAACTATGCTATTAGAAGACACATGTTATGTGCAGTATTTTTAATAGGTATACATGTTACTCGAGATAGGTACTATAGATGGGGCCAGTGCAGGCATTAATAAGATACAATGCCCTGAAAATGCTTGCAGGTAAGAGCTAAAACATCTGCTATGATGAGTTACATCTTGTTCGCTTCCTTTCATTAAAAAAATGCAATTTTTAAACAGTGAACGATTACTTGGCATTCGCAAATGGCGAACTTTTTTTCAAAAACGAAGTTCATACCTACAAATTTTCAATAATGTTCACTATTTTGTCTCAGTGACTGTGACGTTAATGCGGAGAATACCGCAAAATAGCCACTCAGGTAGTACAGGTTCGCCTCGATTGTTGCTACGCGCCTATATATATTTCCCTCTGTGGATTGTGTTTAACTAATTTTATATTATTAATATTTATGATTACCTGTAGGGTCGTTATTCGGTTGAATTCTGTGTGTTTTTGTGTTTTCTGTGACGTCATTCCAGATAGGGTGCATACGATGTGAGTGAAGGACTACAAATTAATAACTCGGAAAAGTAAGGGATTTACGTTCTGATGATATGTGTATAATGTATGAGGCAACTGGGAGTGAATAGTACATTTTACAAATACACATGTGTGTGCTATTGAGTCAAACGCGGTTTTCCCGACATTTTCTCCGTCAGTGTGTCATGGATGTGGGGTCTGTGTCATGGACCTGAGAAAAGCTCCCCCGGTCATCAGATAACAAATAATCTTCTCAGAGAAGGAGCACTAGTACCACGTGTTGACGAATACGTTTTAAGTTAGTTGCCGTGTAGTCTATTATATTCAGCCGCGATGGACATCAGCATGTTAATAGAGATATCTTAGTCGATCGGTTGGAACCGTTCGTAGGCATTGACAAGAATGCTACTGGGATTGCTGTAATCTACAATAACAAACCTAAGACAAGTTACACGAAGGCGGTGTTTGACTATAACCTTTGACGAATATATTAGATACACATAGGACGAACAGTTTTATCCAACCCAAAGTAATCGATGCCACAATTCCCCGAATACAGTGGAGGTGTTTAGAATGACAATTTATTTTCACGTATGTATGCAAGGTACGCAGTCATATAGTAATGTCACATCCTACTCTTTATGCCGTGGGGAAATATGTTTATAACAGGCTCATGACTCCATCCATTGGCGCGTTAGCTGCCATATTCAAAGATCTTCACAATATGTGTGGATGACTCATGACTGACCTCATCCAAATTCCGAGCTTTTGATAATACACCTTAATGATAATGCATATAATGCATCAGCTTAGATAAATCATACCATTTGTGCAGAAAACCTATATTAAAACCACTAGAACGTAACTGCTATTAGGCACCCAGTGCGACATAATAACCGTCTATGCCTGCTTTACAATTACACACACCTAATGTATATTGATACGACCTATATTTCATTGCGCAGGGCATGTCAGAGCTAACGGAGAGCGTATTGCCTTGATGTTAAATACATGTTACATGTTGGGTAGGTATTATTAAAGGTGTGCAGATATATTCACCATTCGGTGCAATTTATTCGATATAACTAGACACCTTGTACACTGGTAATATCACTTCATTGTAAAGTGCATTATTTTCCATAGTAATGGCACCACTTATACTATCGGTATGTCTAATTAAATGTTACATTACGAGGTATTCGCGCTGAAGGTTCAACACGTGAGTAGTGTATATGTCAAAGCATGAGTCCATTATACTCGCTGTCTGAGCGCAAAATTTTCTAGCGGACATAAATACGTGCAATTTCGAGTAAGATGAATAAAAATTGCCGACTGAGACGTGTGGCAAGTAGCACTCTATATCGGTTGTACAACTCCCGGAGAGTGACTGTGCGCGTGTGATATAAGTGTATTCAATATAATCGCTTGCGTACGTTGAAAAGGTATAGAATATCCCACGACCGAATCTTGCATATATCTCAATGCACCTACTCGGTTTGAATATTAAAATAGTACGGTGAATACATATTTAAATTACACCTAACATGCACATCTCAAATATCGATCAAATGCTCAGTGGACCAATTACGTTTCCATCGATGGAACCATTCTGAGTCCACAATTCATTCTAATAGTATTAGCTGTCAATATAACGTAGCTGAGAAAGCTCTCTGTGGACAAGGTTTTTTTGAAAAGCCTATCGCTGAGGGTTCACACGAGGTTACATAGCTAGTTACGCTGCAACAAACACATGACTTCTACGGAAAGAGAGGGTGTTTTTGGTTACGAAAACGAAAAGCCGATACTGATATGATATGATAGCTTAAACAGACTTGTGTTTTACATGTCATGCAAAAATATAGTTCAATGACCGCAAAGGATGATGAAATTAGCGAGACAATTCCCAGTTCCTGACCACAATACTCAATGAATTTGTCGATGCAAACACACTTACCCGTCAATAAGGACAGCCTTTCCATCGCTGGAAAAGGATTATTTCCGGAAGTGTCTAAAATATCCAGACGATATACTTCTCCTTTGATTTTATAAATCTTTCGATGGAAGTCTTCTATTGTCGGCGTATAAGATTCGTCGAACCTGTTTTCTAGAAAGCGATTCACAATAGCAGTTTTTCCCACTTTAGCGGTTCCCAGCATCACTAACCGGTAGCAATTTTTAGCCAGAGCATTCATTTCAGAGTCTACTATTTGGGTGCTGACACTTTGACTCATTGCCATGGTTACATACAAACCGCCAAACCCGTGATTTATGTCCACCCTTCAGCGGGAAAGCCTCTGGAATGAAGCGACTATGCCGAATACGTGCTGCGACCGGCTACTGTTGACGACTGACTGTTAACGGCTTGGGTAGACTTTGAATCAATACACAACCCGAGATCGGGTCATCAAGATACCTCTCACGTTCTTCTCTACTGTCACGTCCAGGACATTATTGCACAGCAAGTCGGCTGTCTACACGTAGCCTGCGAGTACAAAACCCCTCGCCAACCTCACTTGCCAGTAATGCTGATTGTTCTAAATCCGGTGATTGCATACATGCATAACAGTGGACGTACTTCTTTAATGTTAACTGCTTTCCTCATGCCCAGGCGAACTAGATTTGACCGGCGACTACGCCAATTAACTGTCCTATTTCTAAAGGATATTAACTATTCATTATTCAGACGCAGTTGATATGATTAATTCCAATATGCCCACACGTCGATATAATGCCGTTCGTGACAGTGAATACTAGATACAGGACTGGTTAACCTAGGAGGCATTATTAATTATTAGCATGTACATCGTATAAACATGGAGAAGACCTCTTGTTCCCGGATGTAAACTAAAATGGATTGTCAATGAGTTATACACTATCAATTAGGAATTAGTTATTAATTGCGCTGTCGTGAGAGGGTGGTGGTTATCAAAAGATACATCGGATACTGAGTATCGGCCTACGATCCACCTGTATTCACAGCAGTTTATATCTGGTACAATCGCCGTGATTTTAGGACTATAGTGTTGAGAGTTTATGTAAATTGTCATACAGATAAATTAGTGACGTATAATAAATATTTCACACCAATGATCTTCCTGTTCTCAGTTCATCTACCCGACTGTTACTCGTCACGGTGCTATTCAGCTGACTCTGCCAGATAACCGCAATCGTAATGGTGCAACATAAGCAAATATTAGTTGCGGGATTCAAACAGATACCTGGTATATTTTACACAAAAATTTAGATTTCTCTCCAAATAAACTGTGTATGAATTAATTATTTGATTTTTTTCTACTCGAATGTGTGTTTATCACTGATATATCAACCTATAGCTTGGTACGCAATGCGTTTATATATTTAAACGGGAACAGCTATAACTTGTAGGTTGTAGTAACTAATGAGTAAATATTCAAAATAGATGAGCATGATGATAAGTATGATGTATTGATTCCCAAGGGCTATAGTAACACATTGCTTGAGAAAATGATGTCTGTTTTTTTTTTAGAAACACAATTAAATTGGATTGCCACTCCCAAGGGTAAAATTAATAGCAGTTTTTTTTTTAAACAAACACTTCCACCAAATTAGACAGTCTTTCCCATAAAAATGTAATCATTACAGTGTTTAGTATTCGAAGTATGACATAAATACAGATTTTCTAGGCATGGTCCAAAATCAAAATCGAGACTCACGCAAGGAACAAATGAATACATATGCATACTGTACAGACACCAATCAACCATAGAGTCACGGCTATCGTCTCGGCACATATTTTGTATAATTTATCCTCGATGGGATAGTAGATGAATTAGTATGAATCTCCTAAAATGCTCAGTTTATCCACCAAGATCATTATCATTTGTTTCGACTTTTGTTAAATGGTGTTCGTGTTATTATTTTTGTGAATAATTAATGTGGTCACAAGACAGAATCTGGTGTTTCTATATCATGGCATACTAGATCCCGGGCCACTTGACTCAAAATAGGCATGCATATTTATTGAAATCGACACGTGGAAATGAGTAGTTCTGACTGGCCTTGTGTTATACGTCGCTGATTAAGCCATACACAATTTTGACCACATCTATACATTAGGTAACGAATCAATCAGAATGAGAGTATGAAACAAGAGCATTTTTCTCCTGATTTACATTTAACGAAATTAACAAATCTGATATGAAGTATCCAATGACTAAAGCCAAAAATACATTTTTTTAATGAAAACAACATGTTCATTTAACTTGGAGAAACAAAGCTGACAGGGGCCGCCTAATATAAACAAATCAGGCTAATGGTTAGCAAAAACATGATGTTTAAAGTTGCAACTGACAGACGCGAATTAAACGACGCGTGACGAGCACCCCAGCTGCGGTAATGGATAACAATGTTATATTGCCCGCACGTGGCGGTAGGACATATCAAAATGATAGATGCTGGTAATAATGTAGCAGATAAATAAAATATAGTTATTACATTCAGAGTGTGAATACATACAATGGCATGCTGGGATGTATGTAAAACAATGATATTTCTAACAATTAAAAGAGTGAAAATCACAATTTCAGACAGCAATGCAGCGATTGGTAACACATGTATTACGTAAAATGGTACAACATTTCAGATATACATTTGGCCACTTTTTGGTTCAAATCGTATAGTTTAATATACTATCATAAACCTTTTTTTTTAATTTTCACTTATATTACTATAAAATTCACCGTTTTCCATAACAAATAACGTATGGCCGCTCTCTAATGCATAGAAAACACTCTATTCCTATACTTGAAATGCGCATACCATCAATGCTGTTTAAATTGAACACAGGGATGACATGCTTGGTTTAATTGAATCACGGAGTACCATTATTAGATAGTTTCCAGTAAATTCCCTTGGTATTAATAATCTGCCTAGCCTGGCACGCGATTGTACATTCAATCTGATGTTTGAAATGTTGCACTGACTGGATCTATTTCGAAATACCGCAAATACACCCGGGTTGTATTTAAGATCTGTTTGTTTAAACTTAATTTAAAAACACTCGGCCGTGGATGATTAAATTGCTTCGTTTAGGTTTGGGAGGGGCTTAGGTGGTTTAAATTACCGTGCACAAGAATCGCCAAAATCGCGTAGCGCTTTCGGATGATCGTTACGAGGAGGGATTTGCATATTGCATAACTGTTGAGATTATAATTGCTGAGGGTTTTAATTATCAACCACAAAATTAAAAATATATATCTCTAAATTCAACAGATGATATATTCATGTCTTTAAAATCGTATTCGCAACTAAAGTAATTACGACTTTTTCTTTAGAAACTGCATTCTAAATTCTTTCAAAAATACAGTATGCCATTTGCATAATGGCATTTGTTTTAAATAAAATGTGTTTTAAAATTAAAAGTACTATAATGTGCTTAATTACGCGTTTTTGAGTCAGACAAACGAAACGGTAAACGCAAAACAGTGACATGCGTGTTATAGCTGTTGTGTCGTTAACATAATTTCGAAATGCTATAAGGTAAATTTCTCGAGGAAATAAAAATGTCTTGTGATTGACATACAAATCACGAAAACGTCACGAGTGTCACAGTTGGGGTTGAAATAATCGTTAACGTCTGCTGCCAGCATTTTATCTATTTCACACACTGTTATGGTTACGACAGTTCTGTTTTCAATAAAATCTCGCAATCGGTGAAAACTCTATTCTAAGGAACTCGTTTATTAGATCTGTATCCAATGTGATACATAACATATATGAGTGAGCTAGAATATTTTATTATAAGAGTATTTTGTTTTTAATTCATGCAAATTAGTAATGTTATTCAAAACACAACCAATGAATAATTATTTTAGAAAGGTTTATTTCACGTACAATATAGCAGTATGATTTAAATTATTGGTTCGAGTGTGTTGGAGATGCAACCGATCATTAAATGCCGACCAATATCAGGTTATATGAACGCAACAATTCCTCTTGTCTAAAGTAGGGGTGAGTAGAACAACTACACATCGAAATGATAAGCCAATATTGGAGGAGAATTTCAAGCACCCAACACAAATGACTGTTAGACGATCAATCAACAACGGTAAAATAACTGACAAGTACATCAAAATAAAATCAGTATGAAGACATAATCAAATGTATTTTATATAAAACTGAGTTATTCACCAGACATTGATATCATCTGTTTAAATAGTGACATACTGTTTATTAGTGAAAGTTCGTAAAACTATGTCAACAATTCTTTAGAATGTTAATCCTTGATGATATCCCAGAATACACCATTTAAAAAAATCGCGTCCTCTAGTGAATACAAGCTTCTATGACGTGAACAATGGCGTACGAGCCAGTGTTTTTCAAGACGACAGCTGTTTATTGGACCACTACAGATATGACGTTTTGTGTCGTCATCCATCTGCGTTACAGAAGCGCCGCGTGACTACAGTTGAGCCGAGGCATACACAAAGTAAAATTTGATACGACAAAAAAAAAAACTGTCGACAAACAAGCTTCTCAGTGATTCTCTGTCTGACTGATGTCAGGGTTGAAGTGTCAGGGTTCGGCAGCCAATCAGATACAATCAAAGTACCTTTGCATTAACTCTGTGAATATAGGGCGCTTAATTATAGGAAAGGTATTAGAAAGGCTGGTAGGATTACGCATAACACAATCGCAATGAACATAAATTCTAGTTACAACTATTGATTCTATATACGATTGTGTAATATAATCTCATGAATAAAAGAGTGTTTAGCCTATAACTATATGGGCTTGAACGGCGCCGCCTGCGGTGATAAAAACATGATAACGAGCTTGAATCACTGACAAGTAATTACAGAACAGTCATCCACTAAAAGGAACCATGCATATATTTTGAATAATGTATGAAACGAGGCAATGGTGGCCAATCAGAGAAGGTAAAATGCCTCCACGTGAACAGTTTGCATATTTAAATGGCAATATAGCACATTCTCCCTTATTTGCATTGCGCTTCAATGATTCTATATGTACTTGTGGCTGGGAATAAATACAAGCGATGTACTCAAGATGTGAATTGTGTGCTCGCGTTCTTCGGTACTTCGTAAGCTAGTCAGTTGTAATAACAGCTGAGCAAATTACGATGATGCTGATAATGTGTTAAATAATTCATAACATTGCCTTGTGGGGGCGCTGGTCATGACAAATATACCTTCCAGGTAGCAGGCGATTGTACCCTTATAGCTGATCTACGCAAACAAACAAACAAACAATTAATAAGAAATTATACATACTATACATTTATTATCAATTTTGACAAACGTTTATTTCTACTCAATGCAAACTGACTATTGTCACGTAATATAATTAAAAATGCAATAATTGTGACGAAGATAAATTCTGTGTCATATATTGACTCTTGACAAATGGCGTATGGTATAACGCACCACTGAAACATGATATGCCGAAGCATAAATTATAATGAATTAAAAAGCCGTAGATTGCGGTGGTAACTGCAAATTAGAGTAGTCTTGTGTGTGTAATAATCACTCACCGAGTGAATAGCGCTGATGAGGTAGATACGCATACTATATCCTACGGATGTAGTGTAGCAGAGTTCTCATTAGTCAT